GATAATACACCTAACTAAACTGAAGATTAAATAATGAATAGAAATAAATTATTCATGACAGTACCTGTACACTTTTTAGACACTTGACTGAAATTGTAATCTCAATTTCAATTTAATTTTTTTTACCTTAACCAGAGGAAATAATGTATTACTGAAATTTCTATCGGCTTTCTGTTCATCGGGAAAAATCTATTCCCTAAGATTTACCCGATATGAAGATAATTTGTACAATTAGGCATAGTATTTTTCTGTCTTTTATATGTAACCTTTTTTGACAAACCGATTATTAATGTGGAACAAATTGAACCAATATGTGGCATACAAATGCTATCATGCAAGTTTGATTGCTTGAATGATTGTAGATGTTTTACGTACCATTCGAGAAAGATGCATGATTATTTCCTAAAGAACAACTTACGTTCAGATATTACATTTGTCAGATGCAACTCTAAAACAAGAGGCCCATGGGCCACATCGCTCACCTGAGCACTAAGGGTAGGAAAAAGTAGAAAATGGCTTTTTAGTGTAAAGTTTAAATCCAAAAGTAGTCCCATGACCAATCATGGATTTGCTATTTTTTAGAAAATGATTTTTAAAGAATTTTCCTATATATAACTTTAAAAACTTTGATCGGCCATTGTACATGATTTGTTGCATCCATATAAATATGATGAATTATGGCTTTGTCATTCTTGAGAAGAAGATTTTTAAAGAATTTTCCTATATATTTCTATGTAAAACTTTGGTCGGCCATTTTGGCCCCGCCCTACCCCCAGGGGTCATGATTTGAACAAAAATCTACACTACCTGAGGATGTTTCATAAGTTTCATCTTTCCTGGCACAGTGGTTCTTGAGAAGAAGATTTTTAAAATATGCCACCAAATTTTCATTAATTCCCAATTATTTCCCCTTCAATTTTGAACAAACTTGAATCCCCTTCACCCAAGGATACTTTGTGGCAAGTTTGGTTGAAATTGGCCCAGCAGTTCTTGAGAAGAAGTCGAAAATGTGAAAAGTTTACGACAACGACGACGACGACAACGACGACGACGACAACAGACAACAGACAACGGACAAATTGTGATCAGAAAAGCTCACTTGAGCCTTTGGCTCAGGTGAGCTAATAACGTCAATATATGAATAATTCTATCAACCTATAACAATAACTTATAGTTGAAAAACTATATTAGGATGCACAGTTGTATATTTATGCATATGCTTTTCCCCTCTAAATTGATTACGACGCAGTAAAAATAGTTGACCAAATCAACGTACTCACTTTCTTTGAATCAATTTGGTCTGTTGATGTTGTTGTTTTCGAAATGCAACATATAAATTTTTAACCTAATGTATTGAGAATTTCGCTGACTAGGTCTTGTAAGGTGATTCTGTGTAATCGAATTTAGTTGTAATGAAAAAAATATCGGTGCTGTTTTCTTCAAAATCTATGGTTTACTTTTCCGGAAACTTTTGCTCTTCCTTAAAGTATCCTTGATATATAATGCTTTAGTTTGTTTGTTTGTTTGTTTGTTTTGTTTTGTTTTTTTTTCTGTTGTTGTAAATGTCCAAATAAATAAATCAAATCAGAGCAACAGCACAATTGATGAAATGCAATGCCTTTAAATTAAATTTGTGTTAAATTAGCTGAAGTGTAATTTTGATCCGTGAATTAGAATTTTATTTTTAGTATTTTACGTGAAAAATAAAAATGTATAAAAATTGAAAATCTATCTCATTTATATGCTTTAAAAGATAAACGAAAATATTCCTTGAAAAATTAATTAAAAAAAAGAAAAGAATAACTAAATCTAGAATTAAAGCAGAAGACACTGACCGAAGTCGTCTGCCGCAGGTGGCGCCAGAATATGCCCGGAATTTCACCACTGAAATGACACTCCACTGTCTTTATTTCATTGTATCTTTTATAGTAATGTATTAATAATAATCATGATGATAACATTAAATACAATCCATGAAAGACAGGGGCACGTGTTTAGTACAAATCAAACTCCTTTCATCAATCCGACATTTCTTTATTCTTGTAGAATTGAATGGTGATCTTCAAATAATCTGAATGAATTTAAGGATTTATATTTTTCAACAATACAAATGTCATTCTGCTTTCGATTAAAATTTGAAAATCGTTTTTTGAAAATAACATTGCCTTAAATTTGTTGATTGTTCGTAATATAAGACAATAAAGGAGATAAAAATCATAAAATTCTAAATTTACTACATTCGCATACTTAAATGAATAAAACTGTGTACACGAATATGTAGTTCTTTTTAATCAGTATACCCAGTATACATACTTTTTAAAAGAAAATTTCCATCAGTGATATAGAATAACTTTTGATAATTTCCGTCATTAAATTCCTTTCCTGATTTAGATTCTAACGTTTTATGTCTATTTGGAAACGGAACGTAAACTTTTAAGATGCGTAAAAAATAGTTAAACCAACAACAACAAAAAAAAATGCACCAGCTGTCATAATATAAATTTAAACATAGTGGAGAAATTTGCATTTTTACAATTTTTTCTTCTTAGATTTAGTTAAATGGATCGTTTTACAACTACATGTATTTTATTTTACAACTAAATTTTTACTTTACGGCATAACAAAGTCAGTATAAACGCATCGCCTGATTAAATGGAGACGAACAAAATTCAATCAGCTTGATTTTAATGAGATTTAATTCTTAAAAATATTGACACATAAAGAAAAGTGACGTAGCAACAGAACAATTTAAAAAAGAAACAGAACAATGGAAGTTAAGACTGTTACATCGTGGTGAGGTCGATTTATCTTTTAAGTTTGAAATGAGACACTTATCGCACTTAATCATAAAATTCATTTGAAACCTAACACTGCGATTCCATAATTTTCCCATTCTGGAAAGCAATGCTGGAAAGACTGTTGAACTCTCCATTTCTCTGGGAACAATAGCCTCTGGCATCTGTTTTTGGTTATGTCATTGTATTCTTTAGCCGTCACTTTTGTCATCGCTTTCTCCCAACTGTTGCGCTGACTGATGTAACAAGTTCGCTTTGTTGCCGATTCTATTTAAAATTTTACCATCAAATAAATGTTAGTAGCAAAAGATGGGTATCTTTTAGAAGCATGACAGAAGGAATTCCCGTCGCGCGTGGCTACATCGTCCCAAAGATCCAGGCGTTGGATACTAGGACGAGAAGTTTGGTCTCAATGGTTCAAACGGTTGCCTGTCGAATTCCAGTGACTATATTAAACAAATAGTATCATTGTTTCCAAGTACCCGTTATAGATACAATTCTGAGATAAAAGAGATTTATTTTGGGCATGCCCTTTGTCGCTAATTTTTGTGTAACAAGCTTTGGTCGCATATAATATCCAAGTTAATTTTGGTGGAAATTCAAAGAACAGAGGCAGATGGCCCAATCTGGATATGACATGCATACCATGCAACCGGTGCAACTTCCAGCTTTTTCTTGTGCAAGACGATTAAATGGTATAAATAGGCTGTAGTATTGTCCAGTGGGCTATTTTCGTAACGCGGTGTAATTGTTATGCGGTCAACAGTTTGCGTCCACTCTCTGATGCAGGTTGAGTGACCGATTTTCGTCATCCTTGATGCATCTATTAAGTGCTCTGTCTTGGTCATTAAAAAAAATCTTTTGTAACCTTAAATAAGTTATGCCTCGATTTACGTGCATCTTTTAAGTGCATTGGTGGCAAATGAGATGTTATGCATTATACTGGCCGCCAAGTATTGGGTTGCGAACTTCGCGCACCTGCGAGCATTCACGAATGCAATGTACAATGTACCCGTTAAAAAAGACGTTCTTCCTGTCCTATTACGAAAAAAAAACTCCTTGACAAACCCATAAAAAAGTAATATCGCAAAATCAAACTACCTCGATACATGCATAATTTAAAAATATATATATGTGCGTTATTTTCATCATGTTTTAGTTGGTGCTTTTAAAATTTCTTTTAATTAATATTATAAAAAAAATCATTGCACGATTGTAAAAGCATTTAATCTTCCATAAAAGTTTTCGTTCTTTTTTTCCATATTAAGTACATTCGATGGCAGCTATCATTTTACAAGCATTTCATATTTTTATGGTTTGAGTTTTGTTCATATCACTATTTAATATGTGTTTAATATAACGTCCTTCACAATATTTTCTTCAAATTTGTCCTGTGTTTCTTATTTCTTTTCCAGTTAAATCTAATTTTACATCAATTTTTTTCATTCGTTAAACAAATCCTTGATCCGTTAGAGAGAGAGAAAAATCTATAAAAATATCGCATTTTCCCACCGTTTCAAAGCTGTTTGCGTTCAATTTATATCGCAGAAGAAATTAATCGTTATTGGCAAACAGGACTGCTACAGGTAGAATAAATAATACTGAGTTTCTATGGACAGGTAGCTTTCACAACAGGTGGTTGTTTGTATAGGAGAATTGAGACGAAGCAAGAATCAATTGTAACGATATCAAACTTTCCAAAGACCTACTTCATTATTTATAGATACAGATATACATTGTCAGGTGACAAATGGATAAAAAAGAAATATTTGTAATATATCCTGTAGGCGAATGAATCCTCCTTGATATCTATATATTTGTATGAGAATAAAATAAAACTAAATACAAAATATTAAAAAAAAAAATCCCCTAAAAGAAATTATCAAAGATAAATCAAGTTGTAAGTAAGGACACATTGGATTAAATTTGGTATAAACTAGATCGGCAAAAATATTTTGCCTTTGAATATTTATCATGTATTAGTCTCAATAAATTTAAAAGTAAATTATTAAGATAATTTGAAAATGTGTACACCTTTTGCAGAATCTGTGAAAAATCTAGGTTTCCTAGCACGCGAACAGAATGCTTCTGCGCATGTCTAGACAACGTCCCGATGCCACCTAATTAAAATAATGAAATTCCATTCAAAGATCCAGATGACGAAGCTAGAATAACGATTGAATGGAATAATGGTAAATGTTTGTATTTGTCAACGCGCTACAGCACTTTCGTCGCATTGTTCAGGGCAAGTTCAATTATTCATACCAAATATTACCAATTCTTTGCTGCGATTCGTGGAGGCGCGTGTCGTTTGATTGGCATGCGACCGGGTATATAAGACCGTTTATGGAAGCGTGAGAACGAACTTATCACTTAACTTGTGAAAGACAAAAAAGAAGAAAATTTTCCCCTAGCAAATCTGCAACCTCCCAACATGTCGTCAAAGGCCAAAATTTTTGGATGAAGTTACGTATGAGTCAAAAAGAAAAATTCCTCTGGATCTTATATGACGAAAACTCCAAAATGTAGACCTAAAAGGTGATTCCAAACTTTTGAAACTTTATCGAAGCTGCAGTGACGGTTTGAAAAAATGCCACGATCATTTCTAGTCAAGAAGGTAAAATGTGATGAGGATCGTCAACCGAACCAGTACCGAATCAGGGACGTCTTCGAGGAGTCCGTGGCGAGTTTTAAGGCGGCTACACCCTTCACCCCGATGGTTCAACCCCTGTCGGTCCGCATCAGCAACGGTAACTATTTACGTATAATTTATCAGTCATCAGAGCGTTTTTAATTTCAGCATGTCTGCCAAGAACTGGGAAATGGATTTTTGCACGATTGAAATAAGGATATTTCTTCAATAACTTTATCAATTCTACGTAAAGAAATATTTTATCAATGCTTTGATCTTTAATATGCTTAAGAGGGGAGTATTTTTTCTGAAAGAAAAAAATTGTAACATTAATGGTCTTTCACGTTTCGATTTTATAAATTTAAAGATTATCAGATCGACATTCATAATTTTTAAAAATAAATTTATACATTTTATATTGACGCAAATATCTATAAATTCCATATAATATTTAGCATTAATTTTCAATTTTTCGTTTAAGTATATGAAAAAACTAATCTGAATTAGTGGTATTTTAAAATTTGAATACAATTGTAGAATATTCACATGTTTAACCTGTTATAGATAAAAGGTATACATGTATTTGTTTTAGTTCTATGGTTTTTGTTTCCGTATACCCCTTGTATTATATTTATCATACTTCTGTAAAAAATATTCAAAAAGAAGATGCTTATTTCTGCATTCTCTGTACTTAAAAGTACATAGGATAGGCGATCGTTGAAAAAAAGGAAAATCAATTTTGTTTTATGACCCGCATACCCTTTTGTTTGACAAGAATTTCACCGAGGAAAATGAAAAGACATTAATAAATAATTAAAATTATAAGGTTACTTGTCAGAATATGAAAAACGTTTGTTCCTGTAACGCTTCACAGATGCATGTCTATTGTAACGTAACGCAACTACTACTCCAAGCCACGACGAAATATTGTTCAACAGGGCTCAGATTACCATAAGAACCCGACGACTTAGACAACAGAACAAAAGTTGTGCATAATATATTCTTCTGTTGTGAAAGAGTTGAATAATCAAGAGTTTAATGAAATAACGTTGGGGGGAGTGCGGGCAGGGAGTTCAGTGACACTGGTGGGGGAATCTTGATACTGGTCAATGCACTTATGGCTCTACCCGTCAATGGGCTTTTTTCGCAGATTGGGGTTGCAACGTGCGACTTCACTGCTTAAGGTCATCTGAGGTGTTCAATTTTTGACAGATTGTAAAAAAGAAAATCTTGCCTATTGCGACAGTTTTCTTTCGCTTGTTGCGATGAATAAATACATTTCATAACGTTCAGTCCCGTATAATGATCCATAATTTTAACTCTTCCTCTGAGAAAAAAATCTGACACTATACTGTGTTATTAATTATTATTTCATTTTTCTAAATAAATAAAATCTAAAGCATTCAAATATGACTTTAAAAAATCAGAATGTTAATAGCTCCCCTAGGTGATCTTATTAGCCCATGTTTGATTAACAGTCTACTTATAAATATATTTGAGAAGTGCAGAAATGAAACTTCGATGATGACGACACAGTTACAAATAACTTTGGGAACATCATCTTCTGAATCTGGAGATAATTGATATTATGATCCGAACATGAGTTATGCGCTGTCAGTTGGTAATGTTCGAAAGATGCAATTGTTGCCTCTCTAATCTCGCTTCACTGTCGTAGATTGATATAATTGAGTTATGAATGTAACATAATTCCCCCATTTTACGACTAGCCGTGTAAAAGAAGTTTGATAAGTTGGAATTGTTAACTTTTGTAATTATCACTGAAACAACCATTAAGCTTGCTTAAGAAGCAAGCAACAGTCACTCATCTTGATCAAGTTTAGGGATTAGTCAAGGATAGTCAAGTTTAGGGATTAGTTAAGGAAGGAAAACTCAAGATACAAAAATAAAGTTACTTAAAATAATGTAACAGTAGCAAATTTAAAACGAGAATTATACGTATAATTCAAGTTTCCTTTTAAAGGTTGACAAAAATGACTATTTTCTATCTTTTTTTTATAATTCAGGTTACATTCAAGACGTCGTTGTTCCAACACTGCCACAAAACTCAGCCACAGTATTACATGATGCAGAATCGAGAAACAGGTATGAAGAAAATCCTCTTGAAGAAACTCCCTCTCCCGAACTAGTTCCTGAGAAGAACTCGGAGGTTGAAGTTCGGACATCTCTTCCTAGTATGCATACTGTTGGCTATACGTACGATGCGTTTTTCGTCAGTGATGGGAGAGCAAGAAAGAACGCGTTTGGGATTCTGACCAAAACCCAGAAACAAAGATATACCTGCAACGAATGCGGAAAAGATTATGCCACATCATCGAATCTTTCACGTCACAAGCAAACACATCGAAGTCTGGAAAGCCACTCAGCCAAGAAATGTCCACACTGTGACAAGGTTTATGTGAGCATGCCTGCTTTATCCATGCACATTCTTACTCACGAACTCAAACACAAGTGCGACATTTGCGGTAAAGCGTTTTCAAGACCATGGCTTCTTCAGGGTCACAGAAGGTCTCACACCGGCGAAAAACCCTTCGGATGCGCGCATTGTGGTAAAGCTTTTGCTGACAGATCAAACCTTCGAGCACATATGCAAACCCATTCAGCATTCAAACACTATAAATGCAAGAGATGTGACAAATCTTTTGCTCTGAAATCGTACCTGAACAAGCATTATGAGTCGGCGTGTATAAAAGACGGGACCGAATCCGAGACGGGCTCCTTAGTATCCGAGCTATCTACAATCTCGGAGATATCTTGCTATTCCGACTCATAAGATGTTGTACATTGTACACTTTAAGACTTGTCACGATTCTGAAGAATTTCAACCCTTGTGCCAACATGACAATTCCTGAAAATGGCATGTGTAATTTCCTGTTTACCTTTTTCGTGGCAGATTGACTTCAAGATTTTCATATCAAGATAAACTAGATCCTATTTTCGTAGAATTTTTATAGTATTTTACACTGTTCTCTTTCGATATCATCACCATTGTGTCTTCGTGTTGCAAACTGTTGTTGCTCTACCTAAAGATTTGCAGAAGAAATCAAGCAATATAATTTTTGATATATGCACATCACTTTCTAGATTTATGTATTTTTGAAAAAAAAAATTAAGTCAGTGGTGATTTATTATTTTGCCTTATAGATATGTAATTGCTTTAATTTCTGTACATTTTCACACTGTAGAGGTGTTCGAACAACATTTGCTGTTGTCTGTAGTGCTTTTGTCGTTTTGGCTTCGCTTTGGGCTCAAAGCATTCATGAGTTATCTAGTCCCTATTAACTCTAGTCAGTCACGAGGAACAAACGTTTCTTCGTTGACCCGTTAACATCTATGATAATTCAGAGTCGAATATGTAAGTAAAACATCAAAAATGGCGACTTTTTTGTGCGTAACTATAATTGTTAGAGCGTCTGTGTGCATCTGAGTTGTAGAATGATATTAATTTTGTATTGCATTCTAGCTCTCGTCATGGTTGTGAATTTGTAGATACTTGACTTCGTACATGCTGTTGTTTGCTTCGGCAGCTTTAAAATTAATTTTATTTTATTATCATTAGAAATATTTTATTTCAAACAGGTGCGGAATTTTTACATATTTGTGTGTTTAATTTTTACAACAATAGTTCTCTTTTAAATATTTTTATTGATTATGATGACCTTGTATATTAATTACATTTCCAACTTAACATTTAACTCCTATTTGTTATTTCTTCTTTTCCTCTATCCTAACTGGAGGATTTGTTTTTCTGGAACATGTGCAATATTGCCGCTATCAGTATTACCTTTGTCTTTAAAACGTTAATGTTGAATAAACAACTTTAAAAAAGAACTATGTTGTCTTCATGTTTTAATTAATAGATATCACTGTTTCTGACAGAACGACGCCCTCCGCCCCATATTTTTTCGATTAAAATGTATTATGCCATTATATATTAGGTACCAGTATAAAACATGTTGATTTTTATTTCACGCATAAAAAAATCAAAGTTTTTAAAAAAATAAATACTGTAGATAAGTCGCTACCAGAAGTACCACAAACAGTTTACTAACTATAGTGAAAAAGTTAATTTTTTTTTCCACAAGCTTATTAAAAATTTCCAAAATCTTTATTATAAATACTTAGTATGCATTTAAACTTATATCATAATTAATAATACATTATTAAAGAAAAACATTGAATCAAAATTTTGCTGTACATCTTCGTTTCTAGCTCGATCTCATTTTGAATCCTGTATACCGAGATACAGTGTCCGCCATATCGATCCAAATCTGTTTAAGTTGGTTCTTTACCGTTCGAGGTCCTATCCAGCTTTTGTGTGCACATCGATCCTCTGTTAAATATCACCTAACCGTTAAAAATTGAAAATTCGATCTCCAGGTAGGTACCTGTAGAGCTAAACACATCAATTTCAATTTTCCAATATTGCAAGAGGTTCGCTTTCACTACACCAGATACTTATCGACAACATGAACAATGATCAACTGTTGCTTTTCTTCGCTTGATGGACGGCATTAATAGAGAATAAATGAAGCTTATTCAATAGTTTCTATAATATTCAGGTTCAAAATGAAAAATTCTTCGATTTATAGTGGAACTTTTTAACATTTGATTTAAATGTCTACTTAGTATACCATATAATGATGTAATGTACGTTCATAACGACGTATAAATATTTCTTGTGAGATATACTTTTCATTAAACAAAGTTATGTTGATTCTGAAAATTGCAAAATAGAGCACAGATCCTGGTTTAATTGTAGTCTAGTAGAATCGAGAGTTTAGTGGGAACAAGAGACCGAAAGATCTGGTCTTTCTCATATGATCAATTGAACAACACTCATTTCTATATTCTAAGCGACAATTTCGATAAAGAAATAGGTTACCGTGACCTTCATCATGCATCAACTGTCAAGGTTTGGATGACCCTGGACTTAATAGTGTAAAATTAAGAAAATGAAAACCTGGAAAAATCACGACGTAGGTATATGTGACCTATATTTTCATGAATATGTTCCAAGACCCATAGATGCACCAATGCACAATGTCTGTTGATGCTCGGTATCAGAAATAATGAACTAAAAACATTTTGAAAAAGATTAATTATATATTCAAAAAAGTATTCTTTTAACAGTGCAAACCCGTTTTTCAAATGGCAATTTATATGGTTTCCTATATTATATATTGAAAAAATCTTAAATATATAAATAGTACATTCTCATTCATATTTCACATTACCTATGATAAGACCTTTCCAAGTATACCATGATTTTAACTCAGTGACCTTGAAGTTTGACCTTACAACATGCCATAAATAATTAAATCCCAACCACTGAGATACAGAAAGCGTGGGTCCACAATTCTTTGTTACAATAGTGAAATATAGCTTTATCAAATTTAATTTTACTTTAATACTAAATGTGTCTTTTCACATTGCCATGCTTTCCTTATACATTTAATTTAAGTAATGAAAAAATTAATTAATCTTTAACACAGAAATTAATGCTCGAGTCATAGCCTGCATTGTTTGTTTATATGTATGAGTGTGCTTGTGTGTAGTCCCTTCAGTAGTAACGTGATACCAAACGATGTAAAGATAATGAAAAATATATTTTCTTCAGTAAACCCTTTATTTGTGCGAGACATAGTGAGATAGACGTTGAACAAATTAGAAATAATGAATTATTTCGAGGATACAGAGTTGTCAATTCAATTTCAAAATGAGGGATTGTTTTCTCCCATGAGAGTTATATGGTTCTTGCATGACAAATTACCGTGATGTTTCAACAGGTTTTAACTCTGAAACCGCTCTTGAGAAGTATGAAATTTTAATGAACCCAATCAATAAGTTTACTCCTTTTTTTCTCTGTGAATTCATAAACGCTTTCATATCTTTTTTTTATAATTACTTAAAATAAATTCATGACATGCAGATTTCAAAAAATGACATCTCGACATAAAATTAAATGATCAAATAAAAGTATCCCTAATTCAAGATTCGTCATATTGCCTTTAAGGACGTAGGAAACTTTTATTTGTGAACAATTACTGTCAGTGGAGTATTCCTGGATTTAGCTGACTATTGTTACTCCATAGATGAAGGAAAAGGTTTAATAAAACAAATTAATATAACAAGCAAAAAGGCAAAAGATTCGCCTTAAATATTCCTAGGATATTTTTTTAAAAACAGAAATTCGTTAATGAAAAATCAAAAGAACTCCCAATAAACCAATTCTCTAATGCTTATTTTCTGTATCGGAATTCTATTATACCTTTTAATGGCCAGCAGCCAAACATTGCCTAGGAAGTAGTCAGGTAGTGTAGACGGGGTATAAATCAAACTCAAGAGATCAATCACCGATAGATTTTTCCATTCAGAGGCACGAAGCTGGAATATCTACCTTTCCCCCGGAAGCGATTTATTAGACAAAAGACATTACATTTCTCCTATAACGTGTACTTAGCGCCGTGCTTCTTTGACTAGCCACAGGTTGATGCTGGATTCAGGCATCGATTACAGTGTTTCTTTCCGGCAATCACTTTTATTTAATTATTACTGGGCTCTCACATAAGTAAATTTTATTTTGTCATTAGAAAAGTAACATTGCAATTTGCTGTACAATATTTATCTTATTTTGATTTCTTAAAAATATCCAACATGAAAAACGGAGACGGAGTTTCCACTTATTCCAGGATTTTACAATCTAATTTGAGAAAATTAGTGTGGGAAACGCACCAAATATTTTCGGGAACTACGAAACATACTGTAATTTGCATTTCTGAAACCCGAGTAAATTCAAAATTTACAATATGACAAATAAAAGGTTTCTTCTCCTTAAGCACTGGTTCAAGAACTATGAAATTTGTGCATGTGCAAATATCCCCAGGAAGTGTCGATTTCAATTTGTACAAAATATAACCCCGGGGTCACAATTAATGATTAAAATTTTACATGGAAATACATTGAAAAAATCTTCTCCAGAACCACTTGGCCCAAAAATATGAAACTTATGTGGAAACATTTTCAGGTAGTATATATTCAAGTTTGTTTAAATCATGATCCCCGAGGGTAGGGTGATGCCACAATAGATAATCCAAGTTTTACATTGGAATACGTAGGGAAAACCTTGAAAATAATTCTTTTTTTAACAAAAAGCAAAGCCATGCTATATTATAACATGGAAGTATCCTCAGATAGAATAATTTCAGGTTTGTTCAAATCATGACTCTCGAGATAGAATGGGGCCACAATGGACGATAAAAGATTTACAAATTTTCATTTCAAGAATAGAATAGCAAAGCCATGATTTCTCTTATTTTTATGGAAGTCATTTTAACATAATTCAAACCTGGCTGTAACGCGTCAATGTTGTATAACTGTCTTTTTTATCTGATGTACAGAAAGCTGAAATGAGTGAAAACTCGTAACATTATTTTCAAACGCCTCCCACTTTAAAAACTGACGTTATTAAAGTAATACATGCTTTTGCTATATCGGTTCCTGTATTGTTTTTATTTTAGAATATACACTATTTTCACTTTCTGCCGACTGATTGTTTCAAAATCTAAACTGCAGAAACAGAATTTCCATGCAGTTGTGCCACTTTTTCAGTTATCTTTCTTTGTTCACGTTGAAACATTTTCTTCGAAGAGAGATAGAAAGGAAGGGGTTGATTTCCATAAGTCGCTTTGTTCTTCTTTTTTAAATTTTATTTTCTAACTACAGTTTTTAACGCTTAAATTGTACTGCAAAAAGGAAAGAAGTGGAACGAAGCAGGAAAATGTGATTTAGGATTTTTTTCTTCCACTATGCACTAATACTACAAAAGGGTGTAAATGTGTGGCTATGGCGTCATAAAAATGATGACTTTATTATTTTGTATTTTGTGAATGGTAACATTCTCTACAACCTAGTTGCCCGCGTGGCGCAGTGGTTAGAGCGTCTGCTCTAGAATCGCCAAGTAAGGAGTCAATCCTTACGTCGCCGGTTCGAATTCCACTGTGGGACGCGGAGACCGGTCCTTCGGATGTGACCGTATGAACCGAGATCCGTCGCAGTAGATGCTGGCACGAAGAAATATCCCTCCCTGCTCAATGGCTCTGAGTGCCGAGTATAGGACAAAATTTGCAGTTCTCCTCCGGCAAGTGGTGGCGTCCCCATATGAGTGAAAAATTCTCGAGATGGATGTTAAACAAATTTACAATCATTATCTTAATATACTATTTTAATTGCTGCTGCTGTTGATAATTTCAAGATAATATATATTTGATGTTTAAAAAAAATAGGTTAAACCAAAGCTAGTTTAATAAGGGTATCAGCAATATAGCCCAACTATAATGACTTATGCTCATCTAGCTCTGAAAGATGAATCAAACAGTGCGAGGCGCAGCTAGACAATATGGGTACCAGTGAGAGCATTAAGAGAAAGAACATTGATTACAATTAAATCTTACAGGGCTCCTTTCTTAAATATGCAAGAGGAGCCAAAACTGGAAGACCATATGAAAAAATGGCTCAGTTTAGCTATGGGTATACAGGTACCACGAAAGAAGTTATAGACCTGGTTCCAGGATCATGAAACAGACTTAGACTTAAGTCAAATTTGCAATCACCAATTAAATGTTTTTTAATTATAGAACGAATCTCTAATCTTGCAGATAACAACACTTTTGTGAAGATATATTAAATAATATTTTAATTTTTTATGTAGTATTTGACTTAATAAAAATTCTGGTACAACATGAATATTTTGACTTAAGTTTTAGATGTTTCATGATCCTGGAGCCAGG